GGCGTCTCAGACCAGACCAGCGCGAGGTACGTTGGGCGTCTGGTCTCCGCAGATGGTGCAAGGATAGACCCCAAGGACCTGGAGGCTGTCTTGGCACTCAGAGAGAAGACACTTCAGACGGTTGGGGACGTGCCGAAACTAACCAATCAGAGCTGCAGTAGGCCTATACAGTATGCAAATAGCCATGGCCAAATATGGATCTGTGCCGTTCACTTTGGACTGTGTTTAGGCTACAGTGTGAGAGGTCACGAGTAGATGCGCTTGTTTTGAGATCAAAGTGAGAGCTACATGTAGCCACTGGTGTATTTTTTGCTAGTTAGTGAGTTATTAATTAATTTTTTTAGCCAAGTTACAGCTAATTTCTAGTCAACAATGGGAGAGTAGTTGCTTCCTACAAGAGCACAAAATGTGTGCATTACTAGACATCTTTGAAAAGCCAGTTAGGTAAAAAGCATTTTTCATGTCTTAAAGGTGCAGTGTTGTATTTTGAGACAGGCTTGAATAAGCTAAGTAGCCAATAGGCAGAGGGCAGCATAATTTGTCTGATTCTCTGTAATAATGGTATGGGAATAATAATGCATTTTACTTTGTAAAGTGGTTTCTTGCATCAAACAACACAATATTTTCAGTCCCCTCCTTGTCTGAAGGACCAGTGGACAAACAGGTTAATGCCAAGCCCTGCATGTTGGTTTTCTCTAAAGTCTGATGGAATGTAGGGCTACATTGAACACCACACATTGGCTGCTACTGTAGACAATGATAAAACAGCTATTTCCATGTTAAAATGTTATGGGATGCATTTTCTCCATAGTTTTTGATGGCAGGCCACTCTGGTAGGCCTACATTAGGATCAAATAGCCAACAGTAGCCTACTTGGCCACTGTTAAAACTGTAACTTAAAGCGGGTTCAGCCTCAGTGTTCACAGGAAACATGCGCTGGAAGTTGCACCGAAATTTCACAACCTTCAAGTTTGCGCTCAGCAGCCCTGAAATTTGCTCAGTGCCTACATTTTTTTGAGGGAACATTGCTGATCAACACGCTAGCCAACCCACCTGTGTTGGCGTATCCCAACTTCGACTTAGCATTCACGCTTTCACAACGATGCCTCAGAGAAGGGCCAACGCCAGGAAGGGAGGTTGAAGGTTCTTGGATACGGCTCAAGGACGCTCACACCAGCCCGAGAGAAACTACAATCTCCATTCTGGGAAACTGGAGTTCCTCGCTTTGAAATGTGCACAACGTTAAAAGACCATCTGTTCTATGCGCCCCACTTCACCATTTACACTGGTAATAATCCTCTCACTAATGTCATGAGTACCGCAAAATTCAACGCTGTTGGCCACCGCTGGGTGAAAGAGCTGTCAGATTTCCGGTTTGACATAAAATACATCAACATTGACGCCGACACCTTGTCACCCTTGCCTCTTGACATAAACAAATGTGACCACATGTTCTGAGGAACTGTCACAGGATGTTGTCCACGGCACCTGGGAAGGGAGCAAGGCTGCTTAGAAGAAGTACGTTGAGGCCTCCCGAGTGGCGCAGCGGTCTAAGGCACTGCAGTGCTCGAGGCGTCACTACAGACCCGAGTTCGATCTCGGGCTGTGTCGCAGCCGGCCGCGACCGGGAGACCCATGAGGCGACGCACAATTGGCCCAGCGTCGTCCGGGTTAGGGGAGGGTTTGGTCGGCCGGGATTTCCTTGTCCCATCGCGCTCTATCGGCTCCTGTGGCGGGCCGGGCGCATGCACGCTGACTTCGGTCGCCAGTTGTACAGTGTTTCCTCCGACACATTGGTGCAGCTGGCTTCCGGGTTAAGCGAGCAGTGTGTCAAGAAGCAGTGCGGCTTGGCAGGGTCGTGTTTCGGAGGACGCGTGGCTCTCGACCTTCGCCTCTCCCGAGTCCGTACGGGAGTTGCAGCGACGGGACAAGACTGTAACTACCAACTGGGGATCGAAAATAAAGAAAAAGGACGTTGCCTGGGTTACAGCTTCTCAGGGTGCTGACCAACGACCACGTGAACTTCTACCAACGATAGGTCATGATGAGCTGACTGAAGCACAGTGAGAGGACCAGGCCATTGGAGAAGTAATCCATTTGAAAGAAGACAACAGGACACTTGACAATGACACACAGAGAACAGTGAATGGGGCTTACAAGGATATTACTACATGAGTAAACTTCACTTGGAAGATGGATTAGTATCGAAGGACAAGTGAGAAATGACAGTTGTTCTCCTCGTTAAGTACTGTACTGAAGCATCTACATGATGACCTGGGCCATGGAGTGCTCAACCTCGCGAGGGAACGATTTTATTGGCCATTTCTGAAGAGAGAGATTGAGGAATATGTCACAAGCTGTCCTTATATAAAACAAAAGAAACCAGTTGTCCGAGCTCCCAGGGGAAGCATCATGTCTAGCTTTCCCCTAGAGCTTGTCTGTATTGATTACCTGCACCTAGAAACCAGCCGAGGTGTCTATGAGTATATCCTAGTAGTAGTAGATCATTTTACAAAGTCCGGTCGGACTGCAGCCGAATGCATCTTTAAAATGATTTCATCCCGAGGTTTGGTTCCCCGTCAAAGTTACATCATGACCAAGGCAGTGAGTTTGAAAATGAGCTCTTCAGAACTCTCCAGAAGCTTTCAGGTGTTGGGTCATTCCAGAACGTCACCCCTACCGCTCTCAAGGCAAGCCCGCAGAGAGGTTAAACAGGACATTACTTTAACAGGATGTTACTACAGACGTTAAGGACACTGGAAGAGAAGGAGAAGTGGAGGGATCACTGATGGTGCGTATAACTGCTTGTGATTACACCCTAGATCAGCTAGATACAGGCGAGAGTGTGCAAGGCGGTATTGAATGTGTCACTGTCTGTCATCTCAAATCTTTCTCTCGACCTGTGTGCACCTATGTTGTAAACTTTAATTCATAGGCTAGGTTGTAGCAACCTCATGATGGGTAGAGGGAAAATGTGAGTATCATGTAGTAGCCTAAACCTATTGATGTTACATTGAACTGGGCGAATTGTCAAAAGCAACCCACTCGTAACACAGCCACCTGGTGCAGCCAGGCAGTCAATGGCTCAGTGTTCCAAAACTGTTCACCTGTTTCTACACTGAACAAAAATATGATCGAAACATGCAACAATTTCATAGATATTACTGAGTTACATTTCTTATGAGGAAATCGGTCAATTTAAATGAATTCATTAGGCCCTAATCTATGGATTTCACATGACTGGGAATACAGATATGCATCTATAGATCACAGATACCTTTAAAAAAATCAGAAAACCAGTCAGTACTTGGTGTGCATCATGCAGCGCGACACATCTCCTTCGCATAGAGTTAATCAGGCTGTTGATTGTGGAATGTTGTCCCACTGCTCTTCAATGGCTGTGCGAAGTTGCTGTTAATTGGCGGATCCTAGATCAGTACCTAATGGTTAGGGGGAAGGACTGGGGGAGAGGAAACGGATCCTAGATCAGTACCTAATGGTTAGGGGGAAGTACTGGGGGAGAGGAAACGGATCCTAGATCAGTACCTAATGGTTAGGGGGAAGTACTGGGGGAGAGGAAACGGATCCTAGATCAGTACCTAAAGGGAAAACTTCACACCGGAGCATTGAGATATCATGGCTCTTGGGTTCCATGTTTTTACACACATTTTGTTGTTTATTTTCCAAACATATAATGCAGTTCGCAGTTTTCCCAAACAAAAACAATAACTGATATTTATGCAAATAATATTATCAAACTAAAAAAAACAACAAAAAAACATGCTTCTAAAAAGTATATTGTAAATGCTTCTTCCATCGTAACGTCGTTATGAAATATTTTTGGAGAGAAAACACGATTTGGGTCCCTCCACAGGGGATGAATAGAGCTGGTTGGTTTATGTACACAGAGAGTTTACCCCCATACAGCTTAGTGATAAATCCGTGGTTGAGATGAATGAACGAAGGTGTTACTACGCCATGTTGTACTGAACTAGACTGAGCTAATAGAATGTCAGTGTGACGCAGTGTTGGGGTCAATAGAATTCCTACTAAGTTAATTGATGGTTTTCTATGAGTGTATATGATACACTACTGGATGCTTAAAGATGTCACAGCACACAGGAAGTCCTCCTCAGAGAGAGAAGGTTCAGAGATCATTCCACTTCCTGAACTGAAGAGGAATGGGACCCCCAAGCCTGCTGTAAATGATAACCATTTCTCGGACAACAGTACGAAAGCCAACCAGACTAGAGAGAGAGATGGGTAATAATGAGATGAAGTCTGTCTTCAGGTTACTAATAGAATGTCGTTAGGTCATATCAGATGTTTGCCATGGCTACCAGATCAGTCAGGTGACAGCGACATTATTAAAAGTTCTATCCCAAATGGCACTCTTTTCCCTATATAGTGCACTACCTTTGACCCGAGCCCTGTGTATTGCACTATATAGGGAGCCATTTCAGACACACCCTATGTCAACGGATACAGCAGGATCATGGGTTCATATAAAACAAAGCTTCTTGATATTCCAAACCCATGGTGTCAGTCGACAAAGATTTTTAAAAAAAACAAAAAAACAAGAAGCCCTCCGTACGTACACAATGGTAATATATCTTCAAAAGCCTCCTACCCGTCCCGTTCCCAACCCAGCTCCCTGTACCCCAGATACAAAAAGACAATCCAACGTCGCCACAGTTATCCAGAGCTGGTAGAAGGTATACCCTGGAACCACTACCTCAGTAAGAGGACCCTACACCAGGGACTCTCTGACAGGACCACAGGCTAGTCACAACACCTTCAGACAGCAAGTCATAATACATTCAGGATGTCCCAAATGGTACCCTCTTCCATATGCAGTGCACTACTTCAGACCAGGGTCTGTAGGGCTGTGGTCAAAGCAGTCCACTACATGGAGAATAAGCTGCCATTTGTGACCCAGTCTCAGAGTTTAGTCAGGTGGTGTGAAATTGAACTACCACTGGTCGACATCAGGGCTGTGTTCAGTAGGGTGCAACACTGAACACCACCCTGGTACCACCCCACTGAACACCACCCTGGTACCACCCCACTGAACACCACCCTGGTACCACCCCACTGAACACCACCCTGGTACCACCCCACTGAACACCACCCTGGTACCACCCCACTGAACACCACATTGGTACCTTGCTACTGCAGTTCCATCCCCAGTAATGGTTATGAAGATGTTATGCCTTGCTCGTGGATGAGTCAGGTTTTCCTTATCTAGGCCCCCTATACTAACATGTTACCAACTAATATACACCAGACATGGTTAAAGAGAGAGATGTAGAGATCAGAGAGAGAGAGATATAGAGATCAGAGAGAGAGATCAGAGAGAGATCAGAGAGAGAGATCAGAGAGAGAGATCAGAGAGAGATCAGAGAGAGAGATCAGAGAGAGAGAGGGAGATGTAGAGATCAGAGAGAGATATAGAGATCAGAGAGAGGGAGATGTAGAGATCAGAGAGAGAGAGATGTGGAGATCAGAGAGAGAGAGATGTGGAGATCAGAGAGAGAGAGATCAGAGAGAGAGATGTAGAGATCAGAGAGAGAGATGTAGAGATCAGAGAGAGAGAGATGTGGAGATCAGAGAGAGAGAGATGTGGAGATCAGAGAGAGAGAGATGTGGAGATCAGAGAGAGAGATGTAGAGATCAGAGAGAGAGAGATGTAGAGATCAGAGAGAGAGAGTAGAGAGAATCAGAGAGAGTAGAGAGGATGTAGGATCAGAGAGGAGAGATGAGATATCAGAGGAGAGAGAGATGTAGAGATCAGAGAGAGATGTAGAGATCAGAGAGAGAGAGAGATCAGAGAGAGAGGAGGAGTAGAGATAGAGAGAGAGAGATGTAAGATCAGAGAGAGAGAGATGTAGAATCAGAGAGAGAGAGATATAGAGCAGGAGAGAGAGATCAGAGAGGGAGATGTAGATCAGAGGGAGAGAGTAGAGATCAGAGAGAGAGATCAGAGAGGGAGAGATGTAGAGATCAGAGAGAGAGTGTAGAGAAGAGAGACGAGAGGATGAGAGATCAGAGAGAGAGAATCAAGAGGGAGATGTAGAGATCAGAGGGAGATGTAGAGATCAGAGAGAGAGAGATCAGAGAGAGATAATAGAGATCAGAGAGGAGATGAGAGATCAGAGAGAGAGAGATGTAGAGATCAGAGAGGAGATGTAGAGACAGAGAGAGAGAGATGTAGAGATCAGAGGAGATGTAGATCAGAAGAGAGAGGATAGAGGAATAGAGATCAGAGAGAGAGAATAGAGATCAGAGAGAGGAGATGTAGAGATCAGAGAGGAGAGAGATGTAGAGATAGAGAGAGAGAGAGTAGAGATCAGAGAGAGAGAGACAAGAGAGAGAAGAGTAAGATCAGAAGAGAGTGTAGATAAGAGGAGAGAGAGAGATGATGAGAGATCAGAGAGAGGGAGATGTAGAGTCAGAGAGAGAGAGTAGAGATCAGAGAGGAGAGAGATCAGAGAGAGAGAGAGTAGAGATCGAGAGAGAGAGATGTAGAGATCAGAGAGAGGAGATGTAGAGATCAGAGGACGAGAGAGATCAGAGAGAGATGTAGAGATCAGAGAGAGAGAGATGTAGAGATCAGAGAGAGAGGAGAGTGTAGAGATCAGAGGAGATGAGGAGATGTAGAGATCAGAGAGAGGAGATGTAGAGAATCAGAGAGGAGTGGAGAGACGATGTAGAGATCAGAGAGAGAGAGATGAGATCAGGGAGATGAAGAGATCAGAGGAGGGAGATGTAGAGATCAGAGGAGAGAGATGTAGAAAGGGGATTCAGAGAGGAGAGAGAATGTAGAGATCAGAGAGAGAGATGTAGAGATCAAGAGAGAGAGAGAGAGATAGAGAGAGATGTAGAGATCAGAGAGAAGCAGAGGAGATGTAGAGATCAGAGGAGGAGATGTAGAGATCAGAGAGGAGAGAGAGATCAGAGAGAGAGAGAGATAGAGATGAGAGGAGAATTAGAACGAGAGAGAGATCAGAGGAGAGTAGAGTCAGAGAGAGGGAGATGTAGAGATCAGAGAGAGAGAGATGTAGAGATCAGAGAGAGAGAGATGTAGATATCAGAGAGAGAGAGATAGAGAGGAGATCAGAGAGAGAGAGAGAGTGTAGAGATCAGAGAGAGAGAGATGTAGAGATCAGAGAGAGAGAGATGTAGATATCAAGAGAGAGAGAGATCAGAGAGAGATCAGAGAGAGAGAGAGATGTAGATAGTCAGAGAGAGAGACGAGAGAGAGAATAGAGAGAGGAGAGAGATGTAGAGATCAGAGAGAGAGAGATGTAGAGATCAGAGAGAGAGAGTAGAATCAGAGAGAGAGGGAGATGTAGAGGATCAGAGAAGAGAGAGATGTAGAGATCAGAGAGAGATGAGAGATCAGAGAGAGAGAGGAGATGTAGAGATCAGAGAGAGAGATGTAGAGATCAGAGAGAGAGATGAGATAGTAGAAGATCAGAGAGAGAGAGATCAGAGAGGGAGATGTAGAGATCAGAGGGAGATGTAGAGATCAGAGAGAGAGAGATCAGAGAGAGATATAGAGATCAGAGAGAGGGAGATCAGAGAGAGAGAGATCAGAGAGAGAGATGTAGAGATCAGAGAGAGGAGATGTAGAGATCAGAGAAGAGAGAGGATGTAGAGATAGAGAGAGTAGAAGGAGATGTAGAGATCAGAGGGAGATGTAGAGATCAGAGGAGAGATAGAGAGGATGTAGAGATCAGAGAGAGGAGTAGATGTAGAGAGATCAGAGGGAGATGTAGAGATCAGAGAGAGAGAGAGATGTAGAGATCAGAGAGAGATCGAGAGATCAGAGAGAGAGATGTAGAGATCAGAGGGAGATGTAGAGATCAGAGAGAGAGAGATGTAGAGATCAGAGAGAGAGAGATGTAGAGATCAGAGGGAGATGTAGAGATCAGAGAGAGAGAGATGTAGAGATCAGAGAGAGGAGATGTAGAGATCAGAGAGAGAGAGATGTGGAGATCAGAGAGGGAGATGTAGAGATCAGAGGGAGATGTAGAGATCAGAGAGAGAGAGATGTAGAGATCAGGAGGAGATGTAGAGATCAGAGAGAGAGATGTAGAGATCAGAGAGGGAGAGATGTAGAGATCAGAGAGAGAGAGATGTGAGTATCAGAGAGAGAGAGATGTAGAGATCAGAGAGGAGGATGTAGGATCAGAGCGAGAGAGATGTAGATATCAGAGAGAGAGAGATGTAGAGATCAGGGGAGAGATCGAGAGAGAGAGGATGTAGAGATCAGAGAGAGAGAGATGTAGATATCAGAGAGAGAGAGATGTAGAGATCAGAGAGAGAGAGATGTAGAGATCAGAGAGAGAGAGATGTAGATATCAGAGAGAGAGAGATGTAGAGATCAGAGAGAGAGATGTAGATATCAGAGAGAGAGAGATGTAGATATCAGAGAGAGAGAGATGTAGATATCAGAGAGAGAGATGTAGAGATCAGAGAGAGAGAGATGTAGAGATCAGAGAGAGAGAGATGTAGAGATCAGAGAGAGAGAGATGTAGATATCAGAGAGAGAGAGATGTAGAGATCAGAGGGGGAGATGTAGATATCAGAGAGAGAGAGATGTAGAGATCAGAGAGAGAGAGATGTAGAGATCAGAGAGAGAGAGAGATCAGAGAGAGGGAGATGTAGAGATCAGAGAGAGAGAGATGTAGATATCAGAGAGAGAGATCAGAGAGAGATGTAGATATCAGAGAGAGAGATCAGAGAGAGATGTAGATATCAGAGAGAGAGATCAGAGAGAGGGAGATGTAGAGATCAGAGAGAGAGAGATGTAGAGATCAGAGAGATGTAGAGGGGGGGGGGATCAGTCCATAGTCTCCATTAGACTCCTCCTCCTGGCAGGTCTCGTCCTCCTGGCAGGTCTCGTCCTCCTGGCAGGTCTTGTCCAGGTCTGTGTCCCAAATGGTACTCCAGGTGGTCTACTTGTGCTCCTTTGTGGGGGCGAAGTACAGCTCCATGGGCTTGTTGACCTTCCAGTACTTCTCACTGACAAGCTCCAGAGAGAAAGACCCGTTCAGCACCTAGAGGACCGACAGAGAGCATTGACTGATTGATCGTCCTTCAGACCAGAGTGTTTAGAAACAACACTAGACTAAAGGTCACCTGGGTGACCAGAGTGTTTAGAAACAACATTAGACTAAAGGTCACCTGGGTGACCAGAGTGATTAGAAACACTAGACTAAAGGTCACCTGGGTGACCAGAGTGATTAGAAACACTAGACTAAAGGTCACCTGGGTGACCAGAGGTTTAAATGAAAACACTGACTAAAGGTCACCTGGGTGACCAGAGTGATTAGAAACACTAGACTAAAGGTCACCTGGGTGACCAGAGTGATTAGAAACAACATAGACTAAAGGTCACCTGGGTGACCAGAGTGATTAGAAACAACACTGACTAAAGGTCACCTGGGTGACCAGAGTGATTAGAAACACTAGACTAAAGGTCACCTGGGTGACCAGAGTGATTAGAAACCACTAGACTAAAGGTCACCTGGGTGACCAGAGTGATTAGAAACAACACTAGACTAAAGGTCACCTGGGTCCTAGACCAGAGTGTTAGTGAAACAACACTAGACTAAAGGTCACCTGGGTGACCAGAGTGATTAGAAACAACACTAGACTAAAGGTCACCTGGGTGACCAGAGTGATTAGAAACAACACTAGACTAAAGGTCACCTGGGTGACCAGAGTGATTAGAAACACTAGACTAAAGGTCACCTGGGTGACCAGAGTGATTAGAAACACTAGACTAAAGGTCACCTGGGTGACCAGAGGATTAGAAAACTAGACTAAAGGTCACCTGGGGACCAGAGGATTGAAACAACTAACTAAAGGTCACCTGGGTGACCAGAGGATTAGAAACAACACTAGACTAAAGGTCACCTGGGTGACCAGAGTGATTAGAAACAACATAGACTAAAGGTCACCTGGGTGACCAGAGTGATTAGAAACACTAGACTAAAGGTCACCTGGGTGACCAGAGATTAGAACAACACTAGACTAAAGGTCACCTGGGTGACCAGAGTGATTAGAAACACACTAGACTAAAGGTCACCTGGGTGACCAGAGTGATTAGACAAACACACTGGGCCCTAAGTGTTCACAACTGTCTGGTGACCAGAGTGATTAGAAACACTAGACTAAAGGTCACCTGGGTGACCAGAGTGATTAGAAACACTAGACTAAAGGTCACCTGGGTGACCAGAGTGATTAGAAACAACACTAGACTAAAGGTCACCTGGGTGACCAGAGCGATTAGAAACAACACTAGACTAAAAGGTCACCTGGGTGACCAGAGTGATTAGAAACACTAGACTAAAGGTCACCTGGGTGACCAGAGTGATTAGAAACACTAGACTAAAGGTCACCTGGGTGACCAGAGTGATTAGAAACACTAGACTAAAGGTCACCTGGGTGACCAGAGAGATTAGAAACAACACTAGACTAAATGTCACCTGGGTGACCAGAGTGATTAGAAACACTAGACTAAAGGTCACCTGGGTGACCAGAGTGATTAGAAACACTAGACTAAAGGTCACCTGGGTGACCAGAGTGATTAGAAACACTACACTAAAGGTCACCTGGGTGACCAGAGAGATTAGAAACAACACTAGACTAAAGGTCACCTGGGTGACCAGAGTGATTAGAAACACTAGACTAAAAGGTCACCTGGGTGACCAGAGTGATTAGAAACACTAGACTAAAGGTCACCTGGGTGACCAGAGATTAGAAACACTAGACTAAAGGTCACCTGGGTGACCAGAGTGATTAGAAACAACACTAGACTAAAGGTCACCTGGGTGACCAGAGTGATTAGAAACACTAGACTAAAGGTCACCTGGGTGACCAGAGTGATTAGAAACACTAGACTAAAGGTCACCTGGGTGACCAGAGTGATTAGAAACACTAGACTAAAGGTCACCTGGGTGACCAGAGTGATTAGAAACAACACTAGACTAAAGGTCACCTGGGTGACCAGAGTGATTAGAAACAACACTAGACTAAAAGGTCACCTGGGTGACCAGAGTGATTAGAAACACTAGACTAAAGGTCACCTGGGTGACCAGAGTGATTAGAAACACTAGACTAAAGGTCACCTGGGTGACCAGAGTGATTAGAAACACTAGACTAAAGGTCACCTGGGTGACCAGAGAGATTAGAAACAACACTAGACTAAATGTCACCTGGGTGACCAGAGTGATTAGAAACACTAGACTAAAGGTCACCTGGGTGACCAGAGTGATTAGAAACACTAGACTAAAGGTCACCTGGGTGACCAGAGATTAGAAACACTAGACTAAAGGTCACCTGGGTGACCAGAGAGATTAGAAACACTAGACTAAAGGTCACCTGGGTGACCAGAGTGATTAGAAACACTAGACTAAAGGTCACCTGGGTGACCAGAGTGATTAGAAACACTAGACTAAAGGTCACCTGGGTGACCAGAGTGATTAGAAACAACACTTGACTAAAGGTCACCTGGGTGACCAGAGTGATTAGAAACACTAGACTAAAGGTCACCTGGGTGACCAGAGTGATTAGAAACAACACTAGACTAAAGGTCACCTGGGTGACCAGAGTGATTAGAAACACTAGACTAAAGGTCACCTGGGTGACCAGAGTGATTAGAAACACTAGACTAAAGGTCACCTGGGTGACCAGAGTGATTAGAAACACTAGACTAAAGGTCACCTGGGTGACCAGAGTGATTAGAAACACTACACTAAAGGTCACCTGGGTGACCAGAGAGATTAGAAACAACACTAGACTAAAGGTCACCTGGGTGACCAGAGTGATTAGAAACACTAGACTAAAGGTCACCTGGGTGACCAGAGTGATTAGAAACAACACTAGACTAAAGGTCACCTGGGTGACCAGAGTGATTAGAAACAACACTAGACTAAAAGGTCACCTGGGTGACCAGAGTGATTAGAAACACTAGACTAAAGGTCACCTGGGTGACCAGAGTGATTAGAAACACTAGACTAAAGGTCACCTGGGTGACCAGAGTGATTAGAAACACTAGACTAAAGGTCACCTGGGTGACCAGAGTGATTAGAAACATTAGACTAAAGGTCACCTGGGTGACCAGAGAGATTAGAAACAACACTAGACTAAAGGTCACCTGGGTGACCAGAGTGATTAGAAACAACACTAGACTAAAAGGTCACCTGGGTGACCAGAGTGATTAGAAACAACACTAGACTAAAAGGTCACCTGGGTGACCAGAGTGATTAGAAACACTAGACTAAAGGTCACCTGGGTGACCAGAGTGATTAGAAACAACACTAGACTAAAGGTCACCTGGGTGACCAGAGTGATTAGAAACAACACTAGACTAAAAGGTCACCTGGGTGACCAGAGTGATTAGAAACACTAGACTAAAGGTCACCTGGGTGACCAGAGTGATTAGAAACACTAGACTAAAGGTCACCTGGGTGACCAGAGTGATTAGAAACACTAGACTAAAGGTCACCTGGGTGACCAGAGTGATTAGAAACAACACTAGACTAAAGGTCACCTGGGTGACCAGAGTGATTAGAAACACTAGACTAAAGGTCACCTGGGTGACCAGAGTGATTAGAAACACTAGACTAAAGGTCACCTGGGTGACCAGAGAGATTAGAGTGTGTGCCTATTTACATTTTAGTCATTTAGCAGACGCTCTTATCCAGAGCGACTTACATGAGTGCATACATTATTTTTTTATTTTTTATACTGGCCCCCGTGGGAAACGAACCCACAACCCTGGCGTTGCAAACGCCATGCTCTACCAACTGAGCTACATCCCTGCCGGCCGTTCCCTCCCCTACCCTGGACGACACTGGGCCAATTGTCACGGCCGGCTACGACAGAGCCTGGATTCGAACCAGGATCTCTAGTGGCACAGCCCATGATGGTTATCATCACACATAACACAGCAGCACTGCTAGCATCCTCTTTTACCACTTCACCTAATCTTTCCTAAACATTAGATGACTGTTCTGGACCTCCATTCTATAACATTAGATGACTGTTCTGGACCTCCATTCTATAACATTAGATGACTGTTCTGGACCTCCATTCTATAACATTAGATGACTGTTCTGGACCTCCATTCTATAACATTAGATGACTGTTCTGGACCTCCATTCTATAACATTAGATGACTGTTCTGGACCTCCATTCTATAACATTAGATGACTGTTCTGGACCTCCATTCTATAACATTAGATGACTGTTCTGGACCTCCATTCTATAACATTAGATGACTGTTCTGGACCTCCATTCTATAACATTAGATGACTGTTCTGGACCTCCATTCTATAACATTAGATGACTGTTCTGGACCTCCCTTCTCTTTATTTTCAACTCTCCATTTCTCTGATTTTTCTTATTTCATTAAAATCCGACATATAACTTTTTCGATCAATATTAACGTTTTCTGGTCGTTCCCAAAAGCGTTTGAAGAGTAGGCTATTTGGCACGCGTAAAGTTAGGCCCTAAAGTGTAAAGTTAGGCCCTAAAGCGTAAAGTTAGGCCCTAAAGTGTAAAGTTAGGCCCTAAAGCGTAAAGTTAGGCCCTAAAGCGTAAAGTTAGGCCCTAAAGCGTAAAGTTAGGCCCTAAAGCTTGGCCTTAACCTCAGATAGCCTAAAATAATGAAAGAAAAATCTAAATGTACCCTATAGATGAATTGCACATTAATGATACATTTCTGGAATTATTTTCTTGTTGTAGTAGTAATATATTGTATTATTACCGTGAACTGGCCGTTGGCTGTAGGGATGTAGATGGTGTATTGTTTCTCGGAGGCAGCGTCTACATTGATTGGGCTGGCCTCTCCATTCTTCCTCAGTTCCTCCAGGGCCAGACGTACCGCCAGGTACTTGGACAGGTGGTCCACTGTGGCGTTACCTGACGTCTTGATGTACCTGGGAACAAACTCAACACTGCCACACACACACTAGCATTAGTAGACTTCTTGATGAACCTGGGCACTAACTCAACACATTACCTGAGGTTTAGAAAGATATACACACACTTTCACCATCTAAACTTTCCCCAACTAAACTTTCCCCATCTAAACTTGGTCTTGAATCCTTTCCAAACGTCCACAGGTACAGTCTCACAGTTTTTCACAGACAGGCTTCAAATACACATGCCTATGCAGATTAGAAGATCAACACTACTCCAGTCATTGGGAAGATTTAAAGCTGCACTATGCAGAAATCGCTCCGCCGTTTCCTGGTTGCTAAAATTCTAAATAGTTCGCCTAATTTCAGTTTATGTGACAGAACAACCAAGTATAGTGTAGAGAATCGTTGCACCATCTAAGCCGCTGTGAAATATATTTTCCATAACCAACAATATTATATTTTCAGCTGTTTGAAGCTGGTGTAGAAAACCGAAAGTAAAAGATGCAAAAGCAAAACTTAAGAACGGGAACCATAGAAATAGAGCACATAGAACAGATCTACCGCTTCCTAGACATCCTTTCAGTTAGAATTTGGTCGAATCGCCCAAAAATGTACATATTGCAGCTTTAATATTGTGCAATTTGTGTATCTGGAACAAACCATCTATCCATCCATCCATCCATCCATCCATCCTGTATCCCACTCAGCCTCAGTTCCCCACCTGGTCTGCACGGTGTCCTCCTTGTCCATGAGCGTAGGGTGAGGGCAGAACACCAGCTCTATCTCGCTGGCCCCGTCCATCGCCAGGTCTCCTCCTCCTCCGTTCTCTGTAGCATTATCCATGTCCAGACCAGAGTCATCTGATGTCTTGGTACGCTTGATGCTCGGCCCCGCCTCCTGGTTTGATTGAATGATTGATTTATTGGGGGAAAAAGATGCGCCGAATACAACCATGGGGATAAAATGTTAAAGCGATAAGATGCTTTAACGAGGAAAAGACACTGACTGGCTATCCTGCTGTAAAATTCCTGGTGTCATTTACTCAACAAAATGTACATTTGAATGCATTTATACCCCTGCTTTACAATAACACATTTATACCCCTGCTTTACAATAACACATTTATACCCCTGCTTTACAATAACACATTTCTACCCCTGCTTTACAATAACACATTTATACCCCTGATTTACAATAACACATTTATACCCCTGCTTTACAATAACACATTTATACCCCTGCTTTACAATAACACATTTATACCCCTGCTTTACAATAAACCTTACCCATCCCATCTACACAATCCGTTAATAATACCCTGCACGTTACCCATCCCATGTCATACACATCTCGTAGAGCCACATACATAATACACATGTACTAACACAGCTCAACTTTACTGATTGTGTTTAGGTATTTGATAGACATGGGAAAACGATTGCACAAATCCAGTCGGGTTTTCAATAAATCCTGGTTGGAGGAATCCGGATTTCCTGCTTTATTTTTCTGATACCGGGAATTTCCCATACCGGGATTTTGGGGATGTTACTGGAATTCTGCAACCTTGCATGGGAATGAAGGTGTGCTAATACCTGGTTGGAGTGGACGGAGACGTTGCTGCAGTGGGAGGAATCGCCGTTGTCCTCCGCCCCGCTCCCGTTCTCCAGCTGGTGCTTCTTCCCCCGCTGCAGCCTGGAGTGACACCCAGTGGTGGGAGGAAGGAAGAGCAGAGAGAGGTCAGATGATTTAAATTCCATTATATAAAGTAACATTTAATTTGACCATATTCACAGGGTAAGTTGTTCTGACATTGGTGAGGTGAGACACCTGAATGGGAAAATAGAGATAAGATTAGCAGTACAGTCATGGCCTGTATCGAAGGCCCTCTTCAATGTTGTGGGCCAGGATTAGGGGTTAAAGGTCAGGGGTCAGGGTACAGTACCTGTTCTTGGCCTGTATCTTGAGGCCCTCCTCGATGCTGTGGGACAGGGCCTGCTGGTTGTTGTGTTTGGAGATGCGGGCCAGAACCCTCTCCTGATGGGCCTCGTACTCATCTCTGCTGGGGTAGATCTTACTGATGAGGGCGTCGAAGTTAGGGTCCGGCCGCAGGGATCGTTTAGACACCAGCTTCTTTCTGCACGTAGGGCATTCCTTGTTGCTGGGTAGAACAGACAGAGAGTTAGCACGTAGGGCATTCCTTGTTGCTAGGTAGAACAGACAGAGAGTTAGCACGTAGGGCATTCCTTGTTGCTGGGTAGAACAGACAGAGAGTTAGCACGTAGGGCATTCCTTGTTGCTGGGTAGAACAGACAGAGAGTTAGCACGTAGGGCATTCCTTGTTGCTAGGTAGAACAGACAGAGAGTTAGCACGTAGGGCATTCCTTGTTGCTAGGTAGAACAGACAGAGAGTTAGCACGTAGGGCATTCCTTGTTGCTGGGTAGAACAGACAGAGAGTTAGCACGTAGGGCATTCCTTGTTGCTGGGTAGAACGAACACACACAGAGAGACAGAGAGAGAAACAAGGTTAGAACTTGAGGTAATTATGTCCTGTGTCACTAAAGTGATCAGCAGTTGATCATGACGTTTGATACGGTTAGTAGACATTGATAAATGCAATACACAGACACTTGGCAATCGACACAGACACTGGGGTCGTACACAGACACTGGGGTCGTCGACACAGACACTGGGGTCGTCGACACAGACACTGGGGTCGTCCACACAGACACTGGGGTCGTCCACACAGACACTGGGGTCGTCCACACAGACACTGGGGTCATCGACACAGACACTGGGGTCATCGACACAGACACTGGGGTCGTACACAGACACTGGGGTCGTACACAGACACTGGGGTCATCGACACAGACACTGGGTAATCAGTGTCAGAGAAAACTAATAGAGAATTGTGTCAACAGTGGCATGTGGTGGTGTTGTTATTGTGTCAACAGTGGCATGTGGTGGTGTTGTTATTGTGTCAACAGTGGCATGTGGTGGTGTTGTTATTGTGTCAAGTGGCATGTGGTGGTGTTGTTGCGGCATGTGGTGGTGTTGTTGCGGCATGTGGTGGTGTTGTTGCGGCATGTGGTGGTGGTGTTGCGGCATGTGGTGGTGGTGTTGCGGCATGTGGTGGTGGTGTTGCGGCATGTGGTGGTGTTGTTGTCGGCATGTGGTGGTGTTGTTGCGGCATGTGGTGGTGTTGTTGCGGCATGTGGTGGTGTTGTTGCGGCATGTGGTGGTGTTGTTGCGGCATGTGGTGGTGTTGTTGCGGCATGTGGTGGTGTTGTTGCGGCATGTGGTGGTGTTGTTGTGGCATGTGGTGGTGTTGTTGTGGCATGTGGTGGTGTTGTTGTGGCATGTGGTGGTGTTGTTGTGGCATGTGGTGGTGTTGTTGTGGCATGTGGTGGTGTTGTTGTGGCATGTGGTGGTGTTGTGTGGGCATGGGTGGTGGTGTTGGTGGGAGTGTGGTGGTGTGTGTGTGTGTGTTGTGGCATGTGGTGGTGGTGTTGTGGCATGTGGTGGTGTTGTTGTGGCATGTGGTGTGTGGTGTGGGGTGTGGGCATGTGGTGGTGGTTGGTTGTGCATGTGGTGGTGTGTTTGGGCATGTGGTGGTTGTGTTGGCATGTGGTGGTTTGGGATGTGTTGTGGTGATGTGGTGGTTTTGTTGTTGTGGCATGTTGGTGTGTGTTGTTGTTGTGCATGTGGTGGTGGTGTTGTGGCATGTGGTGGTTTGTTGTGGTGTGGGTGGTTGTAGTGTGGTGTGTGGGCATGTGGTGGTGGGTGTTGTGGATGTGGTGGTTGTTGTGGCATGTTGTGATGTGTGGTGTTTGTGGCATGTGGTGGTGGTGTTGTGGTGTGGTTGTGTGTTGTGGCATGTGGTGGTGGTGGTTGTGATGTGTGGGTTGTTGTTTTGTGCATGTGGTGGTTGTTTTCATAGGTTTGTTTGTGTTTTTTTTGTTTCATTTTTTTTTTTTTTTTGTTTCCTGTGTTTTTTTTGTTTTTGTTTTTTCATTTTTTTGTGTTATTGTGTTTTCATGTTTTTTTTGTTTTTTTTTCTTTTTTTTTTTTTTTTTTTTCCTTTTTTTTTTTTTTGTTGTGGCATGTGGTGGTGTTTTTTACTCAAACTGAGTGAACATACTAACATACCCTGATCTGAGGGCGGTGATGATGCAGTCGGCACAGAAGCGGTGCAGACACTCCTTGGTTGTCTGGTGTTCTTGAGCATGTCAACAGATTGGACACTCAGCTCCTGTGGAGGCTCCGGGAACACCGCTATCTCCGGCCGTCGGTTGATGGCCTCCTGTACAGGGTGACAAAACAGACCAAACCATGACCCTACAGTACAGGTCCATATATTCTCTATGGCCCCTCAGCAGGGGACAAACAGACCAAACCATGACCCTACAGTACAGGTCATATATTCTCTATGGCCTCCTGCAGGGGCACAAACAGACCAAACCATGACCCTACAGTACAGGTCATATATTCTCTATGGCCTCCTGCAGGGGACAAACAGACCAAACCATGACCCTACAGTACAGGTCATATATTCTCTATGGCCTCCTGCAGGGGACAAACAGACCAAACCATGACCCTACAGTACAGGTCATATATTCTCTATGGCCTCCTGCAGGGGACAAACAGACCAAACCATGACCCTACAGTACAGGTCATATATTCTCTATGGCCTCCTGCAGGGGACAAACAGACCAAACCATGACCCTACAGTACAGGTCATATATTCTCTATGGCCTCCTGCAGGGGACAAACAGACCAAACCATGACCCTACAGTACAGGTCATATATTCTCTATGGCCTCCTACAGGGGTAACTGATCATAATAAGAGACTTGATTTACCACGTCTGAAGCACCATTTAGGCAGAGTTTAGGAGCGCTCTGGAGCAATTCCATTGACCTAAGGTGCAAACTCTCAGTAGGCCCCAAGATAGCCCCGCTGGCCCAGTGGTGGAGCAGTTTCTTGGATGGTTCTTGGATGGACCGCTCCTACTTGTAAACAAAACTAAGGATATGTCTATTGATTTCCAGAGGAGCTCACTGCCACCAATACACTCTGATAGATGGTGAGCCATTGGAGACACTTGATTATACCGTAATACCGCCACAGCCCTACCGTTGATTAGACCGTATTACCGCCACACCCCTACCGTTGATTATACCGTATTACCGCCACAGCCCTACCGTTGATTAGACCGTATTACCGCCACACCCCTACCGTTGATTATACCGTATTACCGCCACAGCCCTACCGTTGATTAGACCGTATTACCACCACACCCCTACCGTTGATTAGACCGTATTACCGCCACAGCCCTACCGTTGATTATACCGTAATACCGCCACAGCCCTACCGTTGATTAGACCGTATTACCGCCACACCCCTACCGTTGATTATACCGTATTACCGCCACAGCCCTACCGTTGATTAGACCGTATTACCACCACAGCCCTACCGTTGATTAGACCGTATTACCGCCACAGCCCTACCGTTGATTAGACCGTATTACCGCCACAGCCCTACCGTTGATTAGACCGTATTACCGCCACAGCCCTACCGTTGATTAGACCGTATTACCACCACAGCCCTACCGTTGATTAGACCGTATTACCACCACAGCCCTACCGTTGATTAGACCGTATTACCGCCACAGCCCTACCGTTGATTAGACCGTATTACCACCACAGCCCTACCGTTGATTAGACCGTATTACCACCACAGCCCTACCGTTGATTAGACCGTATTACCACCACACCCCTACCGTTGATTAGACCGTATTACCGCCACAGCCCTACCGTTGATTAGACCGTATTACCACCACACCCCTACCGTTGATTAGACCGTATTACCGCCACAGCCCTACCGTTGATTAGACCGTATTACCACCACAGCCCTACCGTTGATTAGACCGTATTACCGCCACACCCCTACCGTTGATTAGACCGTATTACCGCCACAGCCCTACCGTTGATTAGACCGTATTACCACCACACCCCTACCGTTGATTAGACCGTATTACCACCACACCCCTACCGTTGATTAGACCGTATTACCGCCACACCCCTACCGTTGATTAGACCGTATTACCGCCACAGCCCTACCGTTGATTAGACCGTATTACCACCACACCCCTACCGTTGATTAGACCGTATTACCACCACACCCCTACCGTTGATTAGACCGTATTACCACCACAGCCCTACCGTTGATTAGACCGTATTACCGCCACAGCCCTACCGTTGATTAGACCGTATTACCGCCACAGCCCTACCGTTGATTAGACCGTATTACCACCACAGCCCTACCGTTGATTAGACCGTATTACCGCCACAGCCCTACCGTTGATTAGACCGTATTACCGCCACAGCCCTACCGTTGATTAGACCGTATTACCGCCACAGCCCTACCGTTGATTAGACCGTATTACCGCCACAGCCCTACCGTTGATCCATACAAATATCTTGGCACTTTCCCTGACAGCAAACAAGGTTGAGGCCAATGTGGATACTGAGGAAACTCAGCAGTTTCAGGGTGGATAAGACGCTGATGACCATCTTTTACAGATCGTTAATTGAATCCATTTTAATATTCAATATGATCTGCTGTTTTGGTAATCTAGACAGAGTAAGAACAGGTAACATTGTTAAACTAAGTAGCAGGATCATTGGTATGAACTGAACTTTCACCTTTGTCACCTGTATCAGACACTAGTCATTTATAAGGAGCCATCCATTCTGAGGGAATCCCAGACACTAGTCATTTATAAGGAGCCATCCATTCTGAGGGAATCCCAGATACTAGTCATTTATAAGGAGCCATCCATTCTGAGGGAATCCCAGACACTAGTCATTTATAAGGAGCCATCCATTCTGAGGGAATCCCAGACACTAGTCATGTGACTCGTTTCAGGAAACTAGGCGTTTGTCGCGCGCCACTACTTCACAGGAGAGGCATTTGAACGTAAATGTAAGTCGCTCTGGATAAGAGCGTCTGCTAAATGACTAAAATGTAAATGTAAATGTAAACTTTTTTTATCAAAATGCTTTTTTTGGCAGAAATGCCTTCTGGAATATGTGAACTTTCATGTACCTTAATAACAAACGTGTATGCCATCTGTAAATACGAATAAAATTGTTATTACGAGCCTAGTTGGTTTAGCCATGGAAAAAGACAACAACCTTCCCGCTAGCCATGATTGGCTGAGATAATGAGTGGGCTGGACATGCCGAGAGATGAGTTTGGATTGGTCTGCCATGTAGCTGCTTCTGTTTATAATATGAGCTGGTCAGTACATGTAGGTAATCCTTTCTAACGCTGCTTTTTAAAAAATATATCACATAGTAGAACTGCATAAGAGTTGCTCTCCACATTCTGGAGGACCGAGTTTTGAAATCAGTGGAATTAGAGTATGATAGCTAAGGAGATTAAGAAAATTCTGGCGTTTGATTGCAAATATGCAGACGGAGTCGAAAAGAGAACACAGAAGGCTCCGGATTACATCTTCAAACTAAGGGCAACCATGGCATCCGTGACAGAGAGGGAGAAGCGTCCATCCACGTATACGGGTAAGATAGTCTAGCTAGCTACATTTTCAGATATTACACGTTTCTAATTTTGTCAGAAAGTCGTTTTCATTTCAAGTTAGTGTACTGTTAGCTAACTAGCTAACGTTAGCTGGCTGGTTAGATAGCTAACTTTACGTGTATGATCTGTGTAGTAATATTGTTCGTATCTCAGAGCCATTTGCATTGCTAGTTATAGCCTAATGTTAGCTAGCTAACATTGAACCTGGTTGGTTAGCTACCTGCAGATTCATGCAGGATACCGTTACGAGTTGAGATCATGGTTCATTGTTTAGCTAGCTAGCTACATGTCTAAACAAAAGACTATGCAAGTAACTATTTCAATAGAATGTTTATGATGTCACTGCGACAACTGTCGATAGACGTAGCTGGTAAATTCTCTCTGGCTATCTACTCCGATTTCAGAGCACTCTCATCTGAGTGTGCCAGAGCGCAGAATAACTGACGAATTTATGAACGCTCAACACCCGTTAAATATGGCCGGTGTCAGTAAACGTTGGCAAAAAAAAGCGTAATTAAATTGTTGCCAGCAGCACAGTTGCAGTCACCAACACTCTGGATAACATAAACACAGCCTAACCAGCTCTGCTAGGGCGAGTAATGGGCAGTGAGCCGTTCTCTCATTTGTGTCTGGAAGTAGCTAGCAAGCTAGCCAACGTTAATGCTGTTGTTAGGCCAGAACGCTCGGATCAACCCTACTCCTCGGCCAGAGCGTCCAGTGTGCGCTCCGAGAGCGAAACGCTCTGAATTTACGAACGGCCAATCTGACAACGCTCTGAGATTACGAACGCCCAGAGCACACTCTGGCACTCCAGATTAAATTTACGAACACACCCGTAGTATAAACCAGCCTTAAGTCTTGAAATCTTTGGTTGTTTAGAACATGGCCTCACATGGGAATCCATAAAGAGCTGGGTGGGGCTAAAGGGTGTGAACGATGCTGAATGGGTGGAGACAAAGAAGAGCTCTCCAGTAGGTACCAAAACATTCAAGGGTCATTTTCTCAAAAGTAAGGTTACAAGTTTATCAACTTTCAAAGCATAATTACTTTCCCATTGTTCCTCAACTGTAGTGTATGATATACCATTTTCTAGCTCTGAGTCTCCACTTTCATCCAATGTAAAAAACACAATTTCAAATTTTGCTACACAAGACCGAATCGAGCCGGTTGGTCACATACACTACCATTCAAATGTTTGGACACACCAACTAATTCAAGGGTTTTTCCTAATTTTTACATTGTAGAATAATAGTGAAGTCATCAGAACTATGAAATAACACATATGGAATCATGTAGTAACCAAAAAAGTGTTAAACAAATCAAAATATATTTTATATATTTGATTCTTCAAATAGCCACCCTTTGCCTTGATGACAGCTTTGCACACTCTTGGCATTCTCTCAACCAGCTTCATGAGGTAGTCACCTGGAATGCATTACAATTAACAGGTGTGCCTTCCTAAAAGTTAATTTGTGGAATTGATTTCCTTCTTAATGCACTTGAGCCAATCAGTTGTGTTGTGACAAGGTACGGGGATATACAGAAGATAGCCCTATTTGGTAAAAGACCAAGTCCATATTATGGCAAGAACAACTCAAATAAGCAAAGAGAAACGACAGTCCATAATTACTTTAAGACATGAAGGTCAGTGAATCAGGAAAATGTAAAGACATTTTAAAGTTTCTTCAAGTGCAGTCGCAAAAACCATCAAGCGCTATGATGAAAGTGGCTCTCATGAGGACCGCCACAGGAAAGGAAGACCCAGAGTTACCTCTGCTGCAGAGGATAAAATCACTAGAGTTACCAGCCTCAGAAATTACAGCCCAAATAAATGCTTCAGAGTTCAAGTCACAGACACATCTCAACATCAAATATTCAGAGGAGACTGTGTGAATCAGGCCTTCATGGTCGATTTGCTGCAAAGAAACCACTACTAAAGGACACCAATAAGAAGAAGAGACATACTTGGGCCAAGAAACACGAGCAATGGACATTAGACCGGTGGAAATGTGTCCTTTGGTCTGGAGTCCAAATTGGGTTAGGCCACTTACTGTTGGCCTGGCTGGCTGACTGCTACTGCCTGAGCAGAGATGATGACTTTAAGGAATTCAAAATAATAAAGTCATCCAATGAAAACTAGGTAATATACCAGACCTTGGGACCACATCACCCCCACCCACATCACCCCCATCACCCTCCACTGGCTCCCAGCCCACATCACCCCCACCCTCATCACCCTCCACTGGCTCCCAGCCCACATCACCCCCACCCTCATCACCCACATCACCCCACATCACCCTCCACTGGCTCCCAGCCCACATCACCCCCACCCTCATCACCCACATCACCCTCATCACCCACATCACCCTCCACTGGCTCCCAGCCCACATCACCCCCACCCTCATCACCCTCCACTGGCTCCCAGCCCACATCACCCCCACCCTCATCAAACTCCACTGGCTCCCAGCCCACATCAGCCACACTCTCATCACCCTCCACTGGCTCCCAGCCCACATCACCCCCACTCTCATCACCCTCCACTGGCTCCCAGCCCACATCACCCCCACCCACATCACCCTCCACTGGCTCCCAGCCCACATCACCCCCACCCTCATCACCCTCATCAAACTCCACTGGCTCCCAGCCCACATCACCCCCACCCACATCAAACTCCACTGGCTCCCAGCCCACATCACCCCCACCCACATCACCCTCCACTGGCTCCCAGCCCACATCACCCCCACCCTCATCACCCACATCAAACTCCACTGGCTCCCAGCCCACATCACCCCCACCCTCATCAAACTCCACTGGCTCCCAGTCCACATCACCCCCACCCTCATCACCCACATCAAACTCCACTGGCTCCCAGTCCACATCACCCCCACCCACATCAAACTCCACTGGCTCCCAGTCCACATCACCCCCACCCACATCAAACTCCACTGGCTCCCAGCCCACATCACCCCCACCCTCATCACCCACATCAAACTCCACTGGCTCCCAGTCCACATCACCCCCACCCACATCAAACTCCACTGGCTCCCAGTCCACATCACCCCCACCCACATCAAACTCCACTGGCTCCCAGCCCACATCACCCCCACCCTCATCACCCACATCAAACTCCACTGGCTCCCAGTCCACATCACCCCCACCCACATCAAACTCCACTGGCTCCCAGTCCACATCACCCCCACCCACATCAAACTCCACTGGCTCCCAGCCCACATCACCCCCACTGGCTCCCAGTTCAATACAGGATCATCCTTAAATTGCTCATGCTCACCTATAAAGCACTCAATGGGCTGGCGGCTACATACCTTACTGACCTCCTGCACCACCACCTGTTCACTGACCTCCTGCACCCCTACTTGTTCACTGACCTCCTGCACACTGACCTCCTGCACCCCTACCTGTGTGGCTGCCAGCCAAATAGCGTTGCACTTCTGTTGTCATGTGATGAAAATGAAGCTATTTTCTGCCGAATGTGTTGCACTAATGTATTTTCTGTGAAGGGAAACTATAGTAACACGTCCCTGACCACTCTATTGAAGCAAAAAAACACTTGACTTTCAATATAAAATGCAGGTGAAATGGTTTAAAACGCTGACATTTTTCTTCTTCTCCCCAATGTGGACCTGACAGATACACTGGAATATTTTCTATGTTTTGCATTTTGAATTTTCATAAAAAAGCTCTAAAATCATTGTAATGTCATTATTTCATAATGCATTTAATAAAATATATATATATTTTTTTACGAAATCGAAATCCATGATTATTTTTTTAAATCATCGGACCGAAACGACGTCAAAAAGCACTAATTGCTCAGCACTACTACATATTGGTGAATATATTGTATTGGTGTATATTTATTGTCATGTTTTCAATGTGTTTTTACTACCCGCTGCAAAATGAATGACACCCCGGGGATCATATAGACTACTCTACTAGGTGGCCTAAGCCTAATGATGATGCTAGTAGGCGTCTGTAGCAAATACAGTGCATTCACAAAGTATTCAGACCCCTTGCCTTTCCAAATCATGTCCAATCAATTGAATTTACCACAGGTGGACTCCAATCAAGTTGTAGAAACATCTCAAGGATGATCAATGGAAACAGGATGCACCTGAGCTCAATTTCGAGTCTCATAGCAAAGGGTCTGAATACGGTATCTGTTTTTTATTTTTAATAAATGTGCAAAAATTAATAAAAAACTGTTTTCGCTTTGTCAATATGTGGTATTGTGTGTAGATTGATGAGGGTGAAAAAATATTTAATCAATTTTAGAATAAGGCTGTAACGTAACAAAATGTGGAAAAAGTCAAGGGGTCTGAATACTTTCCGAATGCACTGATCTGTGACACAAACTCTCAAATCTACGTTATGAACTTTAAATTGAAGTTCATAACTACCTGTGGAAACCTCTGTAGCTCAGAGACAGAGGTGTTACATTAAATGTGGTCCCTACCTGTGGAAACCTCTGTAGCTCAGAGACAGAGGTGTTACATTAAATGTGGTCCCTACCTGTGGAGTCCTCTGTAGCTCAGAGACAGAGGTGTTACATTAAATGTGCTCCCCTACCTGTGGAAACCTCTGTAGCTCAGAGACAGAGGTGTTACATTAAATGTGGTCCCTACCCGTGGAGTCCTCTGTAGCTCAGAGACAGAGGTGTTACATTAAATGTGCTCCCCTACCTGTGGAGTCCTCTGTAGCTCAGAGACAGAGGTGTTACATTAAATGTGGTCCCTACCTGTGGAGTCCTCTGTAGCTCAGAGACAGAGGTGTTACATTAAATGTGCTCCCCTACCTGTGGAGTCCTCTGTAGCTCAGAGACAGAGGTGTTACATTAAATGTGGTCCCTACCTGTGGAGTCCTCTGTAGCTCAGAGACAGAGGTGTTACATTAAATGTGCTCCCCTACCTGTGGAGTCCTCTGTAGCTCATACAGACTGAGTTCCCATGTCTTACTGAGAGGTTGCACCCCATTGGTCTGCACTGTCTGCGTCATAGTCCCAATCTGGAATAAAAAAACATTATCATTAAAACAGACAAAAAACACATCCATCTCTCTTTCCCTCTCCATCTCTCTTTCCCTCTCCATCTCTCCATCCCTCTTTCGCTCTCCATCCCTCTTTCGCTCTCTCTCTCCCTTTCCCACTTACTGTTGGTCAGCACCATTTAACAAAATGTTTGATTTTATGTGCAGAAAATATAAACAGATAAATTGATTAGATATTAATTAATAATAATAGGTAGCTAGATCAGAGGACCCAAAAACTACAATAATTTCAACATCGCAGTCATGTCAAATCAATGTTTGTTTTGTTGCAGATGCAAAGTTTGGTAAAATAATTATGGGAAAAAAAACATCACAAACTGTCATTATTTCTGTTACCAAACTTTGCGTCTGCACTGTTCTTCAAGTAAATGTGTTTGTTAAATGTTCTGTGGAAATTGTTAAAAGTAGTCATTGTGCATAGAGTTGTATGGTTTGTTTAACTTTGCAACCATTAGTTTTTATATGACATCCCTGTTAAAGTCTCAGCATCATCACTCTGTTACCATGGAATTTCCCTTTGACAGCATCTGATGGTTTGACAGTTAGCTAAGATTCCTTTTGTTTGCCTCCAAAAGCACATTAATTAACTAGCAACCTGGAGTACAATCATACCAATGCATACTGAAATATATTTTGGGAGGCAACCGTCTTAAAAATTAATTGTATTTTATATATCCTGTTTTTTGTCCCAGACATTGTAACAATACATTATTAGCTAGCTAGCAGAGCATTAGCAGAGCTAGGCAGTTAGCTTCCCCATTTGTCTTTGTGTTGGATTCTGGCTGCTAACGTTACAGATGTGCGCATACAGAATCGCCTGGATAAAATATGCTATATAGCACCGAACGTTTTACTTCTAATCATATCTATGCATAATGTCTATGCGCAACAAGACAGAAGGCGTTTTATGCATTTATTCTACACTATCACAAGAAATAAAACACAGAAAGGCTGGCTAGTTAAGGCTAGCTAAGGTTAGCTACTAGTTCTGCTGCGCCGGAGCCTCACGACCAATCAACGACGCACTAAAATATACAAGCAATCTGTTCTTCAATGTACCATTATCTGGTCCACCCTTGTTTTACCGTCACTGTAGTCGTCTAGCGACGAAGCTGAAAAACAATCAAATATCGCCGAAACGTCTTTGTTTATGTACTTACATGTTGTGTTGTGGATACAGACGATCCGGTCAGCGCGTTCCCGTTCTGGAGATTTCAATATGGCGGATTTTTACCGTCGCAGTGCAGTTTGGGAAACGTAGGCACACTGCCAAAACAGTCGCACAGATGTACCCCTAAAATTATTGTTCCGCTACAGCAGAGCGGAAGAGGCGAAACTGGGCCAAAATCTGGTCTTCTCCAGCAGGTGACGTTTTTTTTTTTTCGCTCATCAAGCGATTCCTTTTGTATGGAGGTCAATGAGAGAGCGTCGGATTTCATTAACACAAAATGTAATGGCTTATTTGATCGAATATAAGTAGGACACGTGACATCCTGGCAACTTTGAGAAAGAATACTGTATATTGGAGTTGTGCTTGTTGTTCACAGCATATCTGCCCTCTCCTTGGCTAGAATGGTCCCACCTGATGCTCCAGCTGATTTTTGAATATATTTAGAATAGAAAAAGAAAATAATCTTAATTCTTAAAGCAGGGACACGATCAATGGGGGCCGCCATCTAATGTACTTATGCACAAATCATCAGTTACATTATTACATGATTTGGAAATAACATGTACTTGGTTTTACCAGCATTTAGTCCCAACTTCAGGTCAACTGAGGCTTTCTGCAAGGTAGTAAAAGCAGATGAAGAGTCAACAGAGCCTGAGCTGCCGTAGGGGCAGAGCCTGAGCTGCCGTAGGGGGCGGAGCCTGAGCTGCCGTAGGGGCAGAGCCTGAGCTGCCGTAGGGGCGGAGCCTGAGCTGCCGTAGGGGCGGAGCCTGAGCTGCCGTAGGGGCGGAGCCTGAGCTGCCGTAGGGGCGGAGCCTGAGCTGCCGTAGGGGCGGAGCCTGAGCTGCCGTAGGGGGCAGAGCCTGAGCTGCCGTAGGGGCGGAGCCTGAGCTGCCGTAGGGGGCAGAGCCTGAGCTGCCGTAGGGGGCAGAGCCTGAGCTGCCGTAGGGGGCAGAGCCTGAGCTGCCGTAGGGGGCAGAGCCTGAGCTGCCGTAGGGGGCAGAGCCTGAGCTGCCGTAGGGGCAGAGCCTGAGCTGCCGTAGGGGCGGAGTCTGAGCTGCCGTAGGGGCGGAGCCTGAGCTGCCGTAGGGGGCGGAGCCTGAGCTGCCGTAGGGGCGGAGCCTGAGCTGCCGTAGGGGCGGAGCCTGAGCTGCCGTAGGGGGCGGAGCCTGAGCTGCCGTAGGGGCAGTAGCGTATACAACAGGGTCATCTGCGTACAGATGAAAGTTACAGGTTTGTACAGACGGACCAATGCTGTTAATATAAATAGTGAAAAGAACTGGACCAAGAATCGAACCCGGTGGGACACCTTTTGTTCTGTCTAGAAATCCTGATTTAACGCCATCAGTAAGTACACACTGTGTTCTATCTTTTAAATAATTCTCAACCCAGCCCGATCTAAGCCAATCGTCGAGAGTTTCTGAACAAGTAAGGTGTGATCCACAGGTTCGAAAGCCTTGGACAGGTCTATGAAGAGGGCAGCACAGTGTTTCTTCGTATCTAAACATTTATGACATCATTTAAAACCATAAAAGTAGCAGAGATTCTCTGGATAAGAGCGTCTGCTAAATGACTAAAATGTAAATAGCACTACATAGCACCACATTACATTTACATCATTTAGCAGACGCTCTTATCCAGAGCGACTTACAAATTGGTGCATTCAACTTATGATAGCCAGTGGGACAACCACCTTTTTTTTGTTTTTATGGGGGGGTGGGGGGAGGGGGGAGTAGAAGGATTACTTTATACTATTCCAGGTATTCCTTAAAGAGGTAGGGTTTCAAGTGTCTCCGGAAGGTGGTCAGTGACTCCGCTGTCCTGGCGTCGTGGGGGAGCTTGTTCCACCATTGGGGTGCCAGAGCTGCGAATAGCTTTGAATGGGCTGAGCGGGAACTGTGCTTCCGTAGAGGTAGGGGAGCTAGCAGGCCAGAGGTGGATGAACGTAGTGCCCTCGTTTGGGTGTAGGGTCTGATCAGAGCCTGAAGGTAAGGAGGTGCCGTTCCCCTCACAGCTCCGTAGGCAAGCACCATGGTCTTGTAGTAGATGCGAGCCTCAACTGGAAGCCAGTGGAGTGTGCGGAGGAGCAGGGTGACATGAGAGAACTTGGGAAGGTTGAACACCAGACGGGCTGCAGCGTTCTGGATAAGTTGTAGGGGTTTAATGGCACAGGCAGGGAGCCCAGCCAACAGCGAGATACAGTAGTCCAGATGGGAGATGACAAGTGCCTGGATTAGGACCTGTGCCGCTTTCTGTGTAAGAAAGCACCACATAGCACTACATAGCACTACACAGCACTATATAACACTACACAGCACTACATAGCACCACATAGCACTACATAACACTACACAGCACCACATAGCACTACAGAACACTACATAGCACCACATAGCACTACAGAACACTACATAGCACCACATAGCACTACAGAACACTACAATACGATTCATGTTCTTCTCCTTTTTGTTTGTGTATTTCCAATATTGACGTTGTGTTGTTGGCGACTGGTCTGTCTTCAGAGGCAAACTAATTGCCTCCAACAATGTCTGTGACGTCCTAGACAACGCTTTTCCCCCAAGGGAAATTAAGTTAATTGCCTGGCTGCTGGACAATTCCAATGGAACTGTGAACAGGCATTATCCTGAATTATTGTGAATAACTGCTATCAACCAGTATCCAAAACAACCAGTTTTTATTCAGTGTAATTATGTTAAACTGCTAAAAACAGAACTACAGTTGAACTGCCAAATTACCGTATGTAGAGCACTGGACAGCCCACGGCGCCTAGTTGAACGCCTGCACTGTCACTGCAATTGTTGTAACCGGGGTGATGTGTTATAGCCTGTTAACATACTTTGGCTTTACATACCTTACCGTAGGCCAACGTTAGGGATTGAGATGGAGCGTATGCTTGTGTTAACTTTCTACAATCTGGTTAAAATGATGATTTAGAGCATCAAATTAATTTGTGTCAGAGTTGATTTTTGGGAAGTAGCCTATGGTTTAAGAAAACAACAACATTTCCACTTCCACACGCTCTTCTTGCCGTTGCCCTATGATGCCAGATCATCACTGCACTCAGCTGCTAAATAACCTCCATCCTTGAACCTCCATTATACTATAGGCCTTTTAGCCTAGGTCTAATCGACCCAGAAATGATTGGGTCAGACAATGGAATAAGTAGCCTAATTTCTCATGACAAAGCACTGCTCATATTAGGCATATCTGTAAAATAGGAATTCAGATGACGTTAGTTGTGGTACTGGTGATGCCTTTTTTCTGCCCCACTGGGTGTCGTCAGTGTTAATCATGTATTTCTGTTGGCAACAGAGTGTTCGTTAAGCCAAGTAGATGCCTTGACACGTCTCCTTCGATTAGAAAATAAACACATTGGAAAAAATGTTTGTAGCCTACTGTTTACAAATGTCCACCTCATCTAAAACACCCCTTCCAATTAGCCTAGGCTGTACAAATCATACGAATATGTCATCAAAATATATGACTCTTTTATCCATAGCAACTTATATCCATTTTACAAAGATCGGTGGATCCAGGAATCAAACCCACTATCATGGCGTTGCAGCTGCTAAGCAACATGCTCGACCAACCGAGGACCACTCTAGGTCCTTGTGGTTATATTTATTGTAGTCTTATCTTAAAAGGGGCAATCTGCAGTTCAAAACAACAACCACAAAGCGGGGTACCCCACCTCTGTTTTGTTAAACAGGTGTGGGATAAACAGAGATGGATGCAACGACTAACCATCCATGAGTTCAACATTGTATTTATTTGAGGCTATATGGTGTTTATTTATTTATTTACAATTACATTGTTTAGAAACAAGGTAGTAAAATACGCTTCTATTTTGGGT